TATATGTATATATAAAGAATATATATATGTATATATAAAGAATATATATATGTATATATAAAGAATATATATATGTATATATAAAGAATATATATATAAATACATAAAGAAACTTTGCATCCTGATAAACTATAACAACAGCAAGCATGTGGACAAACCAATAAACGTTGCGCGTGTACATAAACCCGCATACAGCCCTCATACCTTGCCTCCTCTTCCCGCACAAACACCCATTGATTTCCGGTTCGCTGCATTGACACACAATCCTCCATCTGGAAGACACGCCGCCGATACGTATTGAGGTCAGATACATCAATCATGTATGTATAGTGTACTTAAGAAACATCATGTATGTACAGCGTACTTAAGATACATCATGTATGTATAGTGTACTTAAGATACATCATGTATGTATAGTGTACTAAAGATACATCATGTATGTATAGTGTACTTGAGATACATCATGTATGTATAGTGTACTTAAGATACATCATGTATGTATAGTATACTAAAGATACATCATGTATGTATAGTGTACTTAAAATACATCATGTATGTATAGTGTACTTAAAATACATCATGTATGTATAGTGTACTTAAGCTACATCATATATGTATAGTGTACTTAAGATACATCATGTATGTATAGTGCACTAAAGATACATCATGTATGTACAGTGTACTAAAGATACATCATGTATGTATAGTGTACTAAAGATACATCATGTATGTATAGTGTACTAAAGATACATCGTGTATGTATAGTGCACTAAAGATACATCATGTATAGTGCACTAAAGATACATCATGTATGTACAGTGTACTAAAGATACATTATGTATATATAGTGTACTAAAGATACATCATGTATGTATAGTGTACTAAAGATACATCGTGTATGTATAGTGTATTAAAGATACATCATGTATGTATGGTGTATTAAAGTTACATCATGTATGTATGGTGTAGTAATGCCACTTCGATGCCACAAAGTATGGCTATACTTGTCGTGTGGATCTTGGCGAACGCAACGACAAGCATGAAAGAATCGAAACCAAAATGCACGCATACATGTACATTGTTTAATGAAAAATAAGCACTCGGTAGGATATGCTATAATCAATAATCGCATATGTAAGTATGAACATAAATAACTGTGTGTGTAAATGGTGTGTGCGTGAATGGCTACATCACTCTATCTCAACAAATTCTCAACACGCTTATGTGGTTAAAATACACGCTTTGTGAACAATTGTATGAATGATCCTCGCATATGTCTATATACACACGTCTACAGCTTATTTCATGATGTCTAATGCACTATGTGTGAATCGATTTACAAAAATATGCCATTTATGTCGTCAATTGGAATATTATACAGCTGAGGTACATGCAAATATACATCAACATTTATTGTAGCTACTGACATTATATATATATATATATATATATATATATATATATAATATATATATATATATATATATATATATATATATTGTGCGTGTCTCTGTATATATATATATATATATATATATATATATAAATATGGAAAATTATCTGTAGCCTATGAATTATTGTGGACTGCAATATACAGTTTCGTTGACACCCAACTGCATTCGTGTGCATCGTGCAACTATTCTTGAGGCGCATAAACCTATATACACTTGACACTCATACCGCCAAGGGCGTGGTTTCCTTCAGACCCCGACTCGAGCCGTGAAGTCCACGCATGTTTGGGAGATTAAGTCGTCTACTGCAAGTACTTTAAATCCTAGTACGTGGTGAAGTGTTGTGTAGAATATAGGCCACTGCCATATATATCATCACATCAGTCTACAACTCTTCATGGCTCGGCAAGATCACAAATAGACAACTATTTACTCATTACAGCTTTTTTTTGTATTTACTATTTTTAGTGCACATATAAAAAAAGGAGGATACACCAACTGCTTCTTTGGTTCGTTTTTGTTTTAAGAAAAAGATTCCCTATTGACATGTAGTATTTATTTAAAATATTTAGCAGACAATCATTTTCTGAAAGATCCCTTTATATTTATATGCCCAAAGAGAGTGCTTTAGGTCTCTTGTATTTATATGCCTAAAATATATAAATACGTATTCACTATTCTAAAAGGCAAGAGAAGGTCATGAGTAGGATAGTACACACTGTTGTCCTTACCAAAAGCAGCCTCAGAAACACAGCCTGGGATTCCTACACGTCTTGTACCAAGGTTTAGGGATAGGTTATGATCTATGTACATATACCACTGCATTCAGTTTCGTATGAGCGTTATGTGTTGTAGCTTCAACCTCTACACACAGTTCAACCCACACTGACGGCAGCTTCTTACAGCAGAGCTTGGTGCAGCCATATGTCTACTTATCAGGCTCAGTGACGTGCATGACCTATTATCCGGCAAGCGACTTTTTCTATATCGAACATATCTCTCTTACACTGTGATCTTGCGTGAAGGTTGTACTTAGATGTGCCCTGTGCGTCTATGAACGTATGTACAGAAATTGAGGTGTTTTATCAATCCGTACGGGCCGAGTGTAAATGTTTGTATCGATGTCCATTGCAACTCCGCACGTATGTTCGTAATGCTTATTTGTATATATATATATATATATACATATGCTTGTATCGATGTCCATTGTATGTGTGCGTCAGTATATATGGGGTGTTCCCCTCATATCTCTTCCAGAATGCTAAATGTACAGCCAAAACCATGCACGGAGTCTAATACATAGCAAAGGTAGCATGTGTTCGAGCCTCTCGTGCAATCGTCTCCTATCTTATTGTGCAGAGTATTTGCTTGTTAGTTACTTGACCTCCGGTGTACTAGGACCTGCACTCATGGTAGCAGTATGTACCCGACCGTCATACAAGAACTTCCGCCTTTCTTAATTACCCGGCTCATAACTGAGTGACTATGCTCCGTATCCATCATTAAACCTATATGCTTGTACCCGTGTGCATTGTAATGTGGCACACGTTTGTGTGCGATGTTTTATTTCTATTACATGTACATATAAATATGCCGGTTATACCGTACCTTTCTTCAAGAATTGGCACGACGAAATCCCAATCAGCCCCTTGCGATGATCATGGTTCAAAAAGTAAACAGATGTCAAAGAACCCAAATTAATGACAATTTAATAGCATCCAAATTTTATATATATATATATATATATGTGTGTGTGTGTGTGTGTGTGTGCATGTATGTATGTATGTATGTATGTATGTATGTATGTATGTAGGTATGTAGATATATATATATATAATGTATGTATGTATGTATGTATGTATGTATGTATGTAT